CCCTCAAACTGGATTTTTTAAAATATTTTCTCATCATGATTAGTGCCTTTGTCATTATATGATATCAGGGAGTACATAATATCAACATATTGTTGAAGTTAAGCTAGATCTCTGTTAAGGTAGTATCTGTCATATTTCTTCACTGCAAAATTACTATATTTCCTTTTCCAAACTATTTATTGGAAGAGAGTTATTAAATCCAGTCCACCCTAAAGACATAGGAGATTAGGCTGTACCTCTTGAGGAAAAATAGCTTCATATATTATTTGGAATTTTTACTTTAGTATGTTTTTAGTATATATTTCGTTATATTAAGATGGACTTATCAATATTTATGCTTTGAGTTATACCTTGTTATTTATTTTGTTGCTTAAATTGATCCCAATGTGAACATTCTTTCAAGTTGACTCCTGGATCTTTTGAAATGCTCCAATCCTGCTTATTTTTTTGTTATCCACCATTTTTCTATTTTGTGAGACTGTCAGATGCTCCAGGCTTAGCTCACGTATAACCCATCCCAAAATTAGAGTTAGCCATTTCACCAGGAAGGCCTGACTCCTTGTATTGAAGAATGGTGTTAGAAATCAAGATCTGCATTTTAGAATTGTTATCCAAATTGAAACACATTATTATTCACCAAGTACATTGTAGTATAATTGCACATGAAATTGAATATTATGTTATTTGATTTGACCTGCAGTTGATGTTTCCCTACTTCTTTTCCTCACCAAAGTCTTCATCTGCATAGCATTGTATATTGGTCAAGTGCCTGGACTCTAAGTTCAAAGAGTGTGTGTTTATATACTGGATCTATCACCAACTTGATGTGTGTCTTTAGGCAAGTTGATTAACAATTCTGTGTTTCAGATCTTTCATGGAACTAGCAATAGAAACTACCTCAAAAGGTGTGAGGGTTTTCAAAAAAAGTTAATATTTGCAAAGCACTTGGAATAGTTCCTGGCATCCATTAATTAAAATATAAATGTTAGCTGCTAGCATTTCTATTTTGACAACTTTAACCAGAAATCCAGTACCAAAAAGACAACATCAGTAACAGACAATACCTATTGAAACAATCTTATGAGAAAGGCCATCATTAATCCTAGTCATGAAGTAGATACTATTTTTAAAGGAAATTTGTTATTATTATTAAATTTGTTTCTCTAAGGATATTTTAATCCATATTTTTTCTTTTAAGGGTCTATATTCAATTTTTTATCAAAAATTGATGTGGTACAACATCTTTAATATGGCCTCATGAATTTCTTTCGTCACACTACGCACGTGCTACTTCTCACATCAACAGATGGAATCTAGAGCCATTTCCCTTGAATTTATGAATGCAGGACTTTCTTAATAATTGGTCTAACCAATAAAATTCAATATAAGTCACGCCCGAAGTTTTAAAACTAAGTCTTAGAAGACACTTTAGCATTTCCAACTAGGTCTTTTGAAATCCTTATTTTGGGGGTGACCAATCTCAGAACCAAGTTGTCATGAAGAAAGACCCTAAGTTGCATGGAAGGGTCAAATGTTGGCCCTCTGAGCAACAGTGCCAGCCGAGTTAATATCTTACAGTCAGTATTAACTGCCAACAGTCTCGGAAACCCAGCTTAGCCAAACTCTAGTGACCATAGTAACTGATGCCACCAGAGAAGAGCTCCAAAGGCAATGCTCATTGTGTTCAGTTCATTGACAAACTTATGAGCAATATAATTAATCAATGTTTTAAGTCACAAAGTTTTGAGATGCTTTGCTGTACAGAAATGAAAAACCAGAACAGATAAACTCTTCAATATTTTTATATTTAAGCATGGATAAGAAAGTTTGTTCATATAGATAAATGTAGCAAGTATCAGATCATCAATATTTTTGACTGATGGATAGAATTTTACCATTAGCAGAATTTATATCATTTACTTTCTTTAACTTGTTTGTCATAAAATTTAAGAGCTTTTTTTTTTGTTAATGGACCAATGTAATTTTTTTTTATTTTTTTTAAATAATAAATTTTATTTTTATATTCCCCCATACAACTGCACATGCCCCATGTAATTTTAAAAAATTTTGTAGAATGGGATTGACTTTCAAATCTAATACAACTCTTAATACAAAGTATTTCAATATGTTAAAGCTTTTTATATATATATATATATATATACAGTCAGATGTTGCCTACTGGGCATTAAAAATTCTATATTGATTAAAATTGTATTATCGATTAAGTGTTACTAGTGAAACACTTTTTCACTCTATAATTTCAAGATCTCATTTTAGGTCTGAATGTTAAACTCCGTATATGGTAATATTTTCATGGGATTCTTACTGTTTCCAGTAAGTTCCTTTATAAGCTCAATAACATAAAGTTTAGCAAGTCAACAATTGTGCTTCAAAATTTTCTAATGTAAGTGTCATTAATAAGAAATGTTTTTGATTCTTATTTGCCAGCCGAGTTATCACCTCACAGTCAACACTAAGGATTTTTGACAAAAGTCTTCCTTTTTATGAGCAACATAATTCAGTGTAAAACAGCAGACAGTGGTGTCAGATTCCATGTCTTCACATAAAGCTAAGAACAGACAGGGTGGAACAGCTTAGATTTTATAGATTCACCATTTTCATAACATCATTTCATGTAAAATTCTGATCTACAGCACATGTCCCTGAAACTTCACTGTGAAGAAAATCAAGTATTTCTTAAATGCCAATGGTTATGATTCAAGGCCTTTTACAATTTTCTACCATTTTTCCCTCATTATCAGGACACACAAATTTAGATAGGGTCCCCATATCTGGTTTGCATCAAAGAATTCAATTAACAATTTAAATATTTATCACCTGTAAGTTCCTTTGATTTTTTTTATAGAACAAGTAATGTTCTTCAAAGAATCTCTCTTTAGAGAGTCTCATGAGCTCTATTACTGAAGTACTATTGAATATATAAGGCAAACTTCTTTAATCTAACAATATTCTTGATCACTGTGACCATGTGTCATCTACTATGTCATCAACGTGTCTACTCACTGCATTGATCAAAATGTGTTACATTTTCTATTTCTTTGAGTCATTGCCGCCATGTGTTGTATTAACAAGTTCTAGATAGCCTGCTCAAACAAAGTGTATACAATTGAGCGAAGCATTCTGTAGATAGATATTGTGTATTTAGTTCTTTTTGCATTACCTAATATTCTATATGTGATTTTATGCAGCAATTACTTCTTAATAATTTATTCTATATTTCTTTATCTAGACTTTCTATATTTTGTCTATGTTGTCTAGACTTTATCTAGTCATCTATGTTGTCTAGACTTTATCTAGACATTCTATATTTCTTTACCTGTTTGGCAGGTATAGATCTTTGTCAGTGACCAAAGCATGTAAAGATCCTGCCCTTGAGAAGACTATATTCTAACAAGGAAAGACAGACAGAAAACTATACATTAAATTGCCTAACATATTAAAATAAAATATAGTAGTTTTCCAGGGCTTTCATAACAAGGTACCACAAACTCTGTGACTTAAACAACAAAAATTTATTTTGTCACATTTTTTACAATAAAAGTGCAAGATTAAGGTATAGGCAGGATTTATTCCTAGAAACTAAGAATCTATTCCATGCCTCTCCTCTACCTTTTAGGTTTTGCTGGGAATCTTTGGCATTCCTTGAAAACATTTCACTCTGTATGTTACCTTTGTAACACATGGTATTCTTTTGTGTATATATCTATGTCCATTTTCACCTATTTATAAGGACACCAGCTATATTTGATTTGGGACTCACTCTACTCCTTCTACTCCACTCATTTTAACTAATTACATCTGTAATGATTCTGTTTCCAAATGTTGTAATGTAAGGTAATGAGAGAACTTCAGCTTATAAATTTGGAGGAGGGATACAATTATATTCACAACAGATGGTATTTTCTATGAAATAACCAAAGAGTAGATAAGAGTGAAGGGATAGGAATGAGAAAAGCAGGTTGTAGCATCAGAATAATCACCAGAATGGTTTAAGAAAGATATAAAGTAATAGAGGAAATTGAGGGCCTCCTGGTGACACAAGGGGTTGAGACTCAACCAATGAGGCTGTCCGCAGGCACTGCAGCATGAGTTCGATCCCCGGCTAGGGAGCTAACCAAATGGTGCAGCTGACCTCTCCTGTCTCACCCACTGCTCCCCTCAGCAGTGTATTTCAGTGCATCTGCCTGTTCTGCTCCCCACTCTGTCTCTGGTGGGTCCTCTCATGCCCCACATCTCTGGCCTGTACCCCAGCTCTTGTAAGCATGAATAAATAAATCCTTAAAAAAAATAGAGGATATTGAGAAAGTTAACTAGCCAGGTATTTAGGAAGAGAGTTTTTCATGCAGATGGGGAAACTATGGAAAAAGGCACTTGGGTCAGAGTATCCTCTCTGGTTTGAGAAATGATGGGCAAGTCAGTGTGGTTATATTGGAGCATATGACAAAGTTTTGCCAGCCATTATAAATTTTGGCTTCTACTCTGAGTGAAATGGAAAGTCAAGGCAGATTTTGAGCAGAATGACGTGACTGATTTCTATTTTACGAGGGTCACTCTGGCTTCTGTACAGAAAATAGAGTTATGGTGAGTGAAGACAAAAATCAAAACAACTTAATCAGAGGCTTTTTCGGTAATCTAGACACAAGATGGGGTCTAAGACCAGGGTAATAGTATAGGAACCATGAGAAATTAAAAAAGCCTGCATTTATTTTTGAAGCAGGGTTGACAGGCTTACCTCACAGGGTAGAATGGCATATAAGAAGAAAAAGAAAATTCAAGGAAAATTCTTAGGCTTTTGATTTTGTAACTAGAAAGAGATGGTTGCAATCAACTAGAGAAAGTTGTTAATGATATAGGTTTGTCACATATTCTTTGTTGTAGGCATCCTCTAAAACACCGCCTAAAAATGCCTTTTTCTTTGTATTCATGCTCCTGCATTTGGGTGTCCCTGGGAGTATGAATTGCATTTAATATCTTCTTTTAAAAAGGGCTTCTGTGGTGAATGGGACAGGTAGGGCAGCTTGATTGTCCGTTTGCAGAATTGACATCAAAGGATTTCAGAAGCATAATTTTTTGGCACTTGGGCAGCTGGTGATCATTGGTCCCGAAAAAGAAATATCTTGCTTTGGCAAATATGCATAGTGACAGTAATGGGAAGTCAACTCCAAGTGAGGTTAAAGGAACACATGGCTTCTACCTTGGATTATTTCTCCATCTTGCTCTCTGACTCTCCAGCTCACTCACTGAGGGACAGTAGCCACCATAACCTCAGCTGCCCTATGGAGAGTTCAAGTGTTAAAAAATTAAGTGAGTCTCTGGCCAAGGGAGAATGAAGAACTAAGGTTTTAGTTCAACAGTCAACAGGAGCCAAATCCTGGCTCACAAACTGTCGCAAAACTTTATTTCAATCAAGGACATAACTGACCTTGAACTAAAGGACTCAGCTAAGCCATGCCTGGATTCGTGACCCATAGGAATGATGAGATATAAATGTTATTTTAAGCCATTAATTTTGGCATAATTTGTCATGTAGCAATACATAAGTAAAATATTCTTTTAAAAAGTTCAAAATTATTTTTTGAGAAAAATAAATGTTTTGAGGAAAGCTACCAAAGGACTTGTTTATGACCATTGATTCATTTGCTAACTATCTATGCAAAAGAGATATTTAAAGTGAGGAAAGGAATTATAGGGATTCTCCAATGCATATTTCAGAAGTTCTCATTATATTGCTTAATGAGGTCTTAATATTTTTGCACTATTGGATTTATCTTGGGAGTATTATAGCTTCCCAGCTTTAATCAAAAGTTTGTGTATTAATATGGGAAACCATATGTCTATAATCATCAACTAAATGAAAATACTTAAAGGGACTATATAAGCTATGAAATCCAAAAAAATCATTTTCAGAAAAGAAATATTTTTATCTGCATTAAAAATGTTTAAAGATATATATTTTCAAATATGAAAAACTAAATGGTATAATGTAAAAAAGGAGGTAATGGATGTTAATTTTCTTTTACAATTGAAATTCTGAAAATATTTCATTAAAAATATTCTTGATAGTCATGCATAATCATGTAATTTATTTCTCTGACTATAATGTTGTAGTGTCCCTTTAAATAGTTTAATTGGGGCCTCCCCAGTGGCGCAGCGGTTGAGCGCTGGGTTGCGAAGCTGCCCGCAGCCTCTGCAGCGCCAGTTCGATCCCCGGCTGCTCCCCGGCCACCAGAGGAGGGTCCCACATGGCGCACAGACCTCTCCTGCCTCCCGCTGCTCCCCTCAGCAGTGTACTTCGGTCCTTCTGCCTGCTCTGCTCCCTGCTCTGGCTCTGGTGAATTCTCTCACCCTCCCGCGCTTCTGACTGTACCCAGTGCTTGTATAAATAAATAAATAAATAAAAATAAATCTTTAAAAAATAAAAAAAAAAAAAAAAAAAAATAAATAGTTTAATTGAATTTATTCAAGTATTATTTCTTTGATTAATTAACATTTTTACTTTGTGAAAAAAATTCATTATAAAATTTAATCAAGTTTAGGCCTTGATTCATTATTAATGTAAAATAATGAAATAATTATATAAGAAAGAGAAAAGTACAATGGAAAAATATTTTAAATCAATTATATTTCATTTATGCATACCTGATAATAATCATAAGTATGATTATATGTCAGGTATTGCTCCCACCACTTTCTGTGGGAAAGTGGGTGCCGCATATAAAAACTATGGTTCTGGTTGAAGTTAGCAGCATAGGAAGAACCTGAACTATTCTCCTCCCATAGATACAAAATTATCTACAATTACATATGAAATAATTTACATTGAAAATGACCTAAAAGCCAGGGCTTCCTCAGTGAAGTATTAAAACTTACTAAGGAAGCTCCCCCACCCCAGGATTCATGTGCAAATTAGGTATCCCAAGGGTTTAGGACTTTTCCTTGGGAAGTGGGGAAGTAATGTATGTCCCACATCAAACACCCTAACCCTTCACTTTAACAAAGTGAGGATGAGTCCCTGGAACCCCCACATTGAGGGCCAGCAGAAAATATGCCCACAAGAATCAGAGTTACAGGGAGTGGAGAAATACCTTACGGGGTCCCCACACAGACTTCTTGTCCTAGGTCCTAACACAGTTACACCAGTTCCAAAAGTACCCAAATCATCAGTGAAAGAATCACACTTACTACTCTTACAGGTTCTGGCTAAGAGACAGGAAATTTTCAGAACAATATGCAGGTATGTGCCATTTTGGTGACCTTATACAACCATGCTAATACCAATACAGGAGGGCACACTTTGGTACCTTAACCCCAACCGACTACAGGTGTGAGCACCCCATTTTGAGCTGTACATCCCTGCACTGAGAAGCAAGTCACAGCTATGATCTGGAAAACTCCCTGCTGAATGCCAGACCTCCAGCTGCTGCACCCTGGGATACCAGCCACACTGGCCTAAGCCTACAATTGCTCTGCCCTGGCCTCCAGGGAATCATTCCCAGGCAGGGTCTCCCCAAATGGCCAGCTTTTTAAGCCTTTGCCTGGATCCTATTGAACACATGTTCCATTATCTCTAAGGAGTCTGTCTTAGTTCAGGACTCTAGGAAGAAATACCCTACCGAGGGGGATTTCAAGCAACATTATTTCTCATGATTCTGGAGGCTAAAAATCTTGAGATCAGGATATCAAACATGGTCAGTTACTCCATGAGCGCCCTCTCCCCGGTTGTGTGCCCCTGTGGGTTTTTCTTAGAGCATACACACAGATTAAAATCTCATTTGTCTCTCCTTCTTTGTTTTTAGGGAATTAGTCCCATTATGGGATCCCACTCTCATGATCTCATCTAAGTCCAGTTAGTCCCACTTTCAAATATCACATAATTAGAGATTAAGTTTTCAACACCTGACTTTTATGGGAGCACAAACATCCAATCCATAACAGAGTCCTCATATAATTAACATGGAATAAGCCGACAGAGGCCACTTTACTTTAAGAGTTATAGGTGATTGTATTGATGAAATAGCATCTACCAGGCTTTGGGGAATAAGCAGTGATTCCATCCAAATTGAAAATATTGTAAACCCCACTGTAAATATGTGTTCTATAAACTCTGTCTTTATTGTTCTACTTCAATCAGAACCAACACACCAGAGTGGTTGGGTTTTCTAGAAGGGACTGAGGCAGTTGAGAAACAGGGGATAGAAAGTGAGTAACAGAGGCAGAGCCAGCTGTACTTGGGAGAGAAGAGGGATTCACAAGTAGAAAGTGGACACATAGCAGTCCAAGTATCTTTTTGCTCAGTTTTGTTCATGCAGTGAGAAGTTGACATTGAAGGAGCCATTTTTAAAATGGAGCTCAGCAAGCATTGCTGAGAAACTGCATTATTTTACCTGTCTTGTTTGACCTGAGCCCATGACCTTTGGACTGGGCTAAAAGCAATTGTTTTAAGAAACCAGCTAGCAAACAATGGTTTGAGAGGTCAACCACTTCCCTCAGACTGATGACTAAGGACTTTGCTGGAGGATAAAATGAGAAACCAATTATGTATCACCAAAAAATATTTTGTCAACACTAGTTCACTTTTTGCTTTCATCATTTACCTTACTTCATCTTCCTCTCTTCTTCCCATTTAAAAACTAACAAAAAAACTTGACCCTTTTTATTTCCCCATGTTGGGACACTATTTGCATTTTCTACCTAAATATGTACCCCAAATTACAATTCTTTGCTGCTAAATAAACATGCCTTACCATTATAAGTGTTTCCTAAATTTTTAACTTGACAATCCCAATTCTTAGTAAATATTAATTTTGTATTATTTTACTATTAATATTTCTCTGGCCCCTTAGCTTTTTAATACCTCTTCAAGAAAAGGAAGTAATATTTACATTAGGTCTTGAAAATAGACAATATACAGATGAGAGAGAGAGAGAGAAAGAGAGAGGATGGATTAAAAAAAATAGAAGAACATTCTTGGCTAAAAGGCGCAAGTGTATTTAAAGGTCCTGAAGTAAAAAGGAGCTTGATTTAAGGAAAAGAAAAAAGTGTCCAAAGTAGTATCAAGAGGTTAAAGAGAATAAACTTGAGAATGATCATTGGATTTGAGATTAGAATGAACAGGGAAAAGTGGCAGGATTTTTAAGATTTGAATGAAAATAAATACCCATTTTTATCATTGTTTGTAGAGCATATTTGACAGCACACTTTGACCAGGCTTTCCCAAGAACAGAAACAGAGTAAGAAATGCTCTCATAATTCTATGACTCACCTTGTACTAGCAAGACTTAGCACCATCGCTACTCAATACTATTCCCAGTTTGCAAGACAGTTTGTAGTTTCTAATTGTTCAGCCTGTTTTCATTCTGTGCCTAAGGAAAAAAATAACTGATAAGTAACTCCCAGCAGGCTCATCTTTTCAAGAGAGATGTAGTCATAACTGGCAGAAAGAAGAGGAAAAGTACAGGAGTAGCTGAGAAGAGCAAAGTGATGTTTAAAGAAAATAATACAAGGAGATACAGTTTTCTGAATTTCAAGACCCCCTCAGGGAGTGAATCATTTAACCAAGTGATATTTTAGTAATTAAGATTCCCATGAACATCATTTGCCTCCCTGCTTCTAACTTAAAATTCCTCTACTGGTAGCTATGAGATCATATTGTATGGTTTTGATATTAGTTAATGCAGGAGATATAGAAAAAAATAACCGCAATTCAATCATCGTCTAAGAGGTAGAGTTAATTTTTTTAAATTTATTTATTTATATAAGCACTGGGTACAGTCAGAAGCTCGGGAGGGTGAGAGAATTCACCAGAGCCAGAGCGGGGAACAGAACAGGCAGACTGACAAAATACACTGCTGAGAGGAGCAGCGGGCACTGCAGGAGAGGTCTGTGTGCCATGCAGGACTCTTGCCGGCAGCCGAGGATCAAACCGGTGCTGCAGAGGCTGCGGGCAGCTTCTCAGCCCAGTGCTCAACCACTGTGCCACCAGGCGAGGTCCTACAGTTAAATATTTTTAAAAGAACAATGAGTGGAAAGGCAGAAGGGGATTGTGTAGTGTAAGGTGAAAGTCCTAACATGGGACAAGAAATTTCCTAATTTATCATTGAGGTT